ATGGAGTTAAAACTATAGTTCTGGGACTTTATGCTCCAAATGAAGGTAAAGGGCCATGGCAGAAAAGGCCCTCTTCCTAGACCCCACCAGTCCAAATCCCTTGACTGGTGGGGTCCGCAACATGCCCCTTCTGCTGGACTGAGTGGGGTGGGCTGATATACGCGGGTGAGACAGCTCCTCAGATAACCTGGTCCTGTGCCATGAAGGGCTTTAAAGGTAATAACCAATACCTTGAATTGGACCTGGAAACAAGCCAGCAACCAGTGCAGCTCACATAACAGAGGTGTTATATGGACCCCCCTGGGGGCATTCAGAACTGTCCGTACCATTGCATTCTCCACCAGCTGTAGCTTCCGGATACTCTTCGAGGGTAGCCCCACGTAGAGCGCATTGCAGTAATCCAACCGGGAGATGACCAGGGCATGAGTGACCATGCATAGAGCCTCCCGATCCAGGAAGGGGCATAGCTGATGCACAACATGAAGTTGCGCAAAGGCCCTCCTAACCACAACTGCCACCTGCTTTTCAAACAGGAGTAGTGAGTCTAGGAGGACCCTCAGATTATGCACTGGGTCTGTCTGGGGTAGTGCAACCCTGTCAAGAACCAAAGATGATAAACTCCTAGATCCTGAGGCTTCCCATACTCACAGTCACTCTGTCTTACCAGGGTTCAGCTGTAGCCTGTTTTCCCCCATCCAGGCCCCTACAGCCTCCAAGCCCCACAAAAGGGTAGCCACAGCATCACTTAGGTCACCTCATCCCATGGTGCTGGATGATCTCACCCCACGGTTTCATGTAGATGTTAAATAGGAGCAGCGAGAGCACCAAACCCTGAGGCACCCCACAAAGCAGGGGCCGTGGGTTGGACCTCTCGCTCCCTATCAACACTAACTGAGTCTGGCCTTGGAGAAAGGAGCTGAACCAGCACAGAACTGTGCCACCCAGCGCCAGTTCCTGCAGCTGACCCAAAAGGATACCATGGTCGATGGTATCGAAAGCTGCCAAGAGGTCAAGAAGAGTAAGGATGGATGCACTACTGCCATCCCGCTCTCGCCAGAGATAATCTAAAAGTACAACCAATGCTGTTTCTGTCCCATAACTGGGCCTGAAATCTGACTGATAGGGGTCCAGATAATCCGTTTCCTCCAGGATCCTCTGAAGCTGCTATGCAACTACCTTTTCCACCACCTTTCCTAAGAAGGGAAGGTGGGAAACTGGATGAAAATTGTCCAGAAGGGTGGGATCTAGTGATGGTTTCTTGAGAAGGGGGCAGACCAAAGCCTCCTTAAAAGGGTTCAGGAACATCTCCTCCTGTAAGGATGAATTGACCACCACCAGTACCCACCCTAAAGTCACCTCCTTGGTGGTTTTAACCAACCAGGAGGGACAGGGATCTAAAAGACAGGTAGCCGCACTAACAGCCCCGAGGACCCTGTCTACTTCCTCAGGGCCAACAAGATCAAACCATTCCCAGATAACTGGGTAAGTCTGCTTCCCGGGCATCTCCACTGGACCCACCTCATGCTTGGCCTCCAACTGACAACAGTTCTGAGCGATTTTATCCATCCAGGTGTTCAGCAAATTCCTCTGCATGGCCCTGTAGATAGTCCTCTGAGCCCTCCCTACCCAGGAGGGACCGAGTGACCCTGAACAGGGCTGCCAGGTAACACTCCGCGGATGCAATAAGAGCAGAGAAATGATGACATTTCGCCTCCCTTACTGCCACGAGGTAGGCCTTAATAGTGGCTCTGACCCGTGTTTGGACTTGTCTTTAGTTTTCCGCCAGCAGCACTCAAGACATCTCTTGACTCTTTTCAGCTCCCTTAACTCCTTCGTAAACCATGGGGAGTGCCGGGGGCGATGAGCCAAGAGAGGCCACACAGATGTGATCCTGTCCAAGACCCCAGCCACCTCTTTATTCCAGGCTGCAGCCAGGGCCTCCGCTAGACCATGCAGCAAGGCCTCAGGAACAACCCCCAGCTCCCTTTGCAACCCTTGCGGGTCCATCAGTCGCCGGGGGCGGACTGTTCGAATAGGTCCCATCTTCCTGCAGAGAGGGGCAGCATAGGAGAATCTCAAGGCCACCAGGGAGTGGTCTGACCATGACAGAGAGGATAATATCAAATCCCCCACCAGATCACACTGCCACTGCTCTGACAAGAAAACCATATCTGGAGTGTGACCGCTGTCCTGAGTTGGGCCATACATGACCTGGGATAGGCCCACGGCTGCCATGGTAGCCATGAACTCCTGAGCCTCCTTCAAAGCCAACTCTAGGGATGGCAGATTAAAGTCCCCCAAGACCATAAGCCTGGGGAACTCCACTGCCAACCCCAAGATGGCCTCCAGCAGCTCAGACAGGAAGGTTGCTACACAGCAGGGAGGATGGTACAAAAGCAAAACTCCCAACTGATCCCGTGCGCCCAACCTCAGGAACAGGGTCTCACATCCAGCAACTTGTGGAGCAGAGCCCCTGAAGGCCAGCAGAGATTCCAGGATGACCACTGCCACACCCCCTACCCTACCTGGGGTCTTGGCTGGTGCCAAACCCTAAACCCAGCTGGACACAATTCCAAAAGGGCAACACCCCCTTCTGGTGTCAGCCAGGTCTCAGTAATGCATGCCAGGTCGGCCTGCTCCTCCCCAATAAGGTCATGAATAAAGGTGGTCTTATTACTGACCAACCAATCTGGCATTCATCAGCAGCAACTGAAAGCCCAGGCCTCTGTAGGTCTGCTGACCAGGGTCTGGGCTTGAGCCCAGAGGGCCGGAAGACGCCACCAGTATAACACATCAGGGGCATCTTCCTCTGGAACGGCCTGCCCTCTGGCTCCTGTCATAACATCCCATGCCCGTTATGCTAAACAAAAGAATTCTGAATTTGCAAATAAACCAGGTTAGCATATAAATTAAGAAAAGAGAAAGGTAAGAAGATGATTTTGAAACTTCAAGAGAGTGATACTGTATTAACAGAGAACGTGGCTATACAAAAAAATTTTCATCAGTCTTATTCTAACTTGTACAAAGGACATGAAAATTCCCTTGGAAAAAATAGATGTCTATTCAAAAAAACAAAATTTACCAAGGCTTACAGACAACCAAAGACAGATCATGAATGGACGTATAACAATAATGGAAGTTTCTGAAGCTATAAAAAACATGAAACCAGGGAAAGTACCAGGACCAGATGGATTACCAAGTTCTTATTACAAATGCTTTGAGGATGAATTTTTACAGCCCCTCCAAAATATGATGAGCTGTATCCTACAGGGAGGTAAGATGCCAAAATCTTGGAAAGAGGCTAACATAGCACTAATATCTAAAGAGGGACAAGATTTAACTTCAACCAAAAATTATAGACCAATATTACTATGAATGCTGAAGAATTGGTGCTGGAAATGGATTCAGAAACTCTCCAGTGAAGAACCTGAACAATTTTCTTTTTGCCAATTTCAATATAATACAGAGGTTCCAGTTCTGGTTGTAATTTCCACACATCTAGAGGGCACCAGATCATAGAAAACTGGAATAACCGAGCATCTTATGTTGGGCTTGTAATAAGTGATTCAACTTACCTAAGAGAAAGCACAGATTTACTAGGCAGCAAAACTGGCTCTGATTTATTCCAGGGGAAAATAAACTGATATAGATATACACAAACAAGACAGCTAATAAATGCTTTTAAATTCAAGGACTGTTTTCCATGTCAGGTAAAGAAAAATCACTAACCTGTGCAAACTTGGTAGCTACATAGCTCCATCTTATTGTGGGCGTTCTGCAAAGAATATGATATCACATTACCCAACTCTCAAATGGTTTGGTGTCAGTCCATACCATATTTTTAGCAAATATAACTAGATACACTTCCTACATATTGATTGTAACAAACACAATCTAAATTCTATTGCAACACAAGAATATATCAATATATTTCAATTATCTAAGTAGGTAAATTTGTTTGAGATGCATGACATTGTTCACATTGCATGTTTTATTCTGAACTTGACAATTCATTATTATTAATATTGTTATACTTTGACTTTTAAAAAAGAAGTAATTAAACGAATTAACAATTGCTGCTAGAAATATACAGGCAGAGGAATACGGAAAAAGGACCTGGAGGCTTGACATATAAGCAATAACATAAAAACATCTAAAACTTCAATAGGGAACCTTGTACTTTTATTTAAGTTACCATTTTAAATATGAGGTTTGATTAAACAAAATTGTCAGTCTCAGCACCTGTAATCTTGTGCAGTTGAGCTATGTGATCATATCTGCTATAAAAACTGGGAAATTATATTGCATTTTGCAATGATAAAATATTTGCCCAATCCTGCCTCAAGCTCAGTGAGACAACTTTACTGCTATTATCTAATGATAAAAAAGTATAGGCAATTTCTGGTTATGCAAGACCTAACTTGCATACATTCAAAGTTATGCAAATTTTTCAATATACTACATCTATAACTATACCCCACATAAATATTTATGTTACATGCATTAAAATAAGCATTAACTGAACTGCGGTAAAAGTTGAGCTGTGCAAGCCTTTTCAGAAGAAAAGCATTCTGTAAACCAGGGATACCCAAACATTGTCTCTGATACCAGTTGTTCTCCCCAAGTCATTGCTGACTTCAGGAGAGCTGGCAATACAATCATTTTGGTATTACAGGTCTTCAGGGAAAGAGAACAGGAAACTTTGTATCTGTATGTTAAAAGCTATACACTGGGAAGTAAGAATTCTTCCTGATATTCTAGCTCTTTACTTCAAGAAGCACTCATAGAACCCACCCAACCTTTTTGATCTAGAGAAAATTTTCAAAACTCTAAATTCCACCTTTTCTTGCATTCTGAAATAGTACCAGCCAGTAGATACAGTCCTTCACATTAGTTCATGCAAGAGTTCTGAAACACCGAGAAGGAGTAATTGGGAGTAAATTAAGATCAGCATCTTTTTTGTGGACTGAAACCACAGGTGGACCAAAGGAAATAGGAAAGTTTGTTTGCCGGTGGGATTGTACAATGCATTTAATTCAAAACATGTGATAAAAATCTGATTATTATTAGATTTTTTTCCAGATTTGCCTTTAAGGTTGCAGGTCCTCGTCTAGGTGTAAACTGCACTGAGCACAGTTGGATCTACTTCAAAATAAATATCCTGCAACTTTATTATGCTGTGATTGTCTGCAGCTCTTTAACATGTCAATCTCATGAAACGGTAAAAAAAAATTGCAAGCTCAGTTGCAGTTCATTAATGAAAAGGGTACACTCACTATAGGAAAACAGCTTATGTTACACCAGAGGCAGCTCTGCCATCCACATTACTCCTTGCTCCTTCTCCTGTCATTTCCTACAGAAAATGCTAAGAAGGTAGATAAAGGGAAGACAGCAGATGGAGGAATTGTGCCAGCAGGTTCAGATACACTGTGTATGATTTCTACCCTCTCCAGCATTTTCTGCCTATAGTTCTTACTAATATGACACCCTTAAAACTCAACAGGCTGACTTCCAGAGGAGGTATGGTGAACTGAAGACATCTCCATGAAAGAGGAGCCGACGACCACGGCAAAGACCAAGGAACTGGTGAATAGACCAGATCCTTGGAAATTCTCTGGATAAGGAGAGGATGGGTGATTGCCCACATGTGCTCCAGATGGCTGCTTCTTGTGAGGAGACCACAGGACAGCAATTTTCCATGGGTTGAGTGCCAGGAGACAAAGCATCTTGCTTGCAACTGCAGCAGAGCCTTTTAAAAGACACTAAGTTTGCAAACCTCACTTTCTAATGACTTTTGGAAATTGCCTATTAATCACCTTAAAGCTATTAGAGACCTTTGGAATGACAAGTTTGAAAAGTCTTTATCAGGTGAGTTTATCTTCAACTCTGAACACATGAAAAATTAAATATAAACTTAAGAACTTAAAGAATTTGAAATAAACAGCAAAAAGCTAAATAAGATTTTGATCTAAGAAAGTTATAAAAGGTTTATAGTAAGAGGGTCCACATAAATTTGGAATATTGACTTTTACTATAAGATTTTGGAATTAACTATAAAAAAATAAATAGCTTCTCATGGAAAACAGGCTTATTTTAGCTATCCTGGCTATTGTACACTATAACAAAGGTAATTATGATTTTAGAGAGTGGACACTAGAGGAGACTAAAGATTTTAAGCTGAAGGGGAAAAAAAACTTGTTCTTGATGTCAGCTAATACTGGGACTTACAAAGTGACACGTTACAACATCGGAAACATTAAAGAAGATCTTTGAAGTATGGAACCAGAAATTAGTAACTAGAATATCAGCACTGTCAGTAATGATGTCTGCTTCTATGGATAGACTATGTGCAAACAATGTTAATGAAGGAATGACAGATGTGGAACAAATTTTATCTAACAAGACAGAGAAAATGGAACCACAAATGACAGGCCAAGAGAATGACTTGGAAAAGGATGCTTTACTGGATATATAAAAGTTTTAAACTGACTCAAGTTTTAAAAATTAAAAGGGAAATACAAATGATGAACCAAGAGAATGACCTGGAAAATGTTTTCTTATTGGATCTATAAAAGAGGCTTGTTAAAGCCTTCAAGAAATCTGTGTGGTGGGATAAAGAAGAATTGAAGAGAATTCAAATCCGATGACAATATTTGATTGAATTAAAGATTAAGACTGTTAGAAGTAAAAGGAAGGAATATAAACCAAAAAATATTGGTTTATTTTATCAAGATTAAAATAAGACATTTTTTGGCCAAGTTTGGGGAACCCTTTATGGACTTTTTGCTGATCCCAGAATTGAAAAGTTGATGTTTTATAGATTTGCTTATAGATAAGGGATGGGATATGGGATGAAAAATATCTGTTAGTAACCTTATAGGAGATGAAATTTGTTTATACTTGTTGTGATGAAGGTTGGAAGTCACTTCCTTATATATTTTTTTCTTTTTCTTTATCATATACTTCCTTTTTCTCTTTTCTTTTTCTTTTTTCTTGCACTTTTTCTTCTTTCTTACTATTCTCTTTCTCTAAGTTTAGTTTGTACTAGTTTTTACTATTGCAATTAAAATTCTTAATAAAAATTCTATTTAAAGAATAAAACTCAACAGGCTGAGATTTTGCACAGCAGGGATACAATGATATTACAGGAATAATATCTGGTTAAAAACTAGCATCACTATAAACAAATGCATGTAATATCAATCCCTTCTGAATAGGAATTAAACTGCCACATGTAAAGTTATTCATTACCTGGGATACTCATCTCGGTAAATAAGGGTAGGAGCAAAAAGAAAATACAGGTACTGGGAAACTTTAGGAAGCTGAGAAGAATCTGGAGGAAAAAAAAAAACAGAAGAGTAGTTTGCTACCAGCTCATATAACACACAAAAAAGTAAAGTCACGATTTCTACCTTGTTCCTGGCTGTAATTAATTCTGAGTGCAATGATACTTCTTGCAAGGCAAGGAGTTCATACAGTTCTGCCTGTATGAACAAGGCCTATAAACTAGTTCCATCTAGAAGAGTCCTACTCCCAGAACAGCAAAAGGGCAAGAAGGTTTCATCCCTCGCATCTGCTATAGAATTAGAGCAAGGCACAGTTACTCACCTGACTTTTGTTGAGCAGCAGAGACTATTCGGGGAACATTCTCCCTGATAAAAGAGTGGGCTTTCATCACAAGACGCACCTACAAAAACAATTAAAAATGACAGGTAAGATCTATGTTAAAAAAAAAAAATAAGAGGAAGGGAAAGGACAAATACACAAGAAAAGGTGAGAAAAGAGAAAAAAATACATATATCAAAAATCTCAATTTTTAAACAAAGTATTAAGCCTTGACCATAAGGAAAAATCTTGAACAGTTTTTCCATTACATCAAGAAAGAGCCAGTTCATAAGCAGATGTTACATGTCCAAGACTATAAATCCAGGATAAGGTTATCTTTCCACAAGAAAACTTTTTTTGCTACACTAGATGCTCAGTAAATCCAGAATTCATATATTGATGTATTCCAAATATTTGATGTATGTCACATAAGTCACTTCACATCTTTAAAATATATCATTCTTCCCAAAGCTATATTAATATATGTACAGATATTGTACCCAAATGGAATGATAGTGAGGAAAATCCATACTAGAAGTTTAAGTGTCTCCTCCATTATTTTACACTTCTAGCCCCAGTCAATCCTTCTAAAACATTATTTGAAATGTTCAATAAACATGAAAAAAAAACATTTTGTTGAATTCTCAATCTCAATCATAAAAAATGTATTTTAAGAACATTCATCGCTGATTTGTTAATATGGGGTATTCCAACTCCTTGCAAAGAAGTTTACAATACTGTCTATAATGAAACATTGTAGACTTAGTCAAAAATATATTTCAATGTTGATGGTGATTCAGGAGTTTTAGATCCTGCTAAGGCAACTGGACCAAATTATGAAATATAAAATATTATTTAATTGGATATTCCTCAGAATTAGACAATCCAAATTCCTTTTGCAATAGGTTAAAAATTTGGCAATAGGCAGATTTAAAGTATTAATACCCATATTAGCCTGTGAATTTAAAAAAATGTTCCATCTGCTATTTTCAAACTGAGATCACTCCAAAGTGTAAGATCAAAATTATAGTCCCATTCCATCTTATAAATATGCTTTGCAGCTTTTAATGCAGGAAATCCTGTAGGACTATAATAGGAGCCAACTCCCTGCCATGATATCAAAGAGTCACAGTATAACTTAGTAATTGTGTTCATAATGGTTTCTGGAATTGATTACTTGAATTACATAGATAAATGAAAGACCTATGTACACACACACACGAACAATAGATAAAGCTGTCTATCCAATGATAACACTGAAAATCAAGAAGTTAATTCCCCATCATATGATAACTATAATTTAGATAAAGAAAACCTAGGGGATTGTTGTTCCTATAAAAATATTAATGATTTATCAACATGCTTATAATACCTTAAAGGTATTAACATAGGAATCCCTCTAACTATAGAAATCAATATTTAAGTAATATTCACTTTTAAATTTACAACATTAACTCACTGGAGTTTTTTACCATACAAGTAAGGTATCATCTGACCTTACTGTATGGTTCACATATTGACATCTTCCAGAGACACAATTTTGCAACTACTCTTTCTGAACTTTATATATTTGTCATATGGCATTTTTTGAGACAAACACTGGGATTTTCTGCTAAATGCTTGATTTTTCCCAATAACCCCTGATTAAAAAGCAAGCTATTTTGATTGTTATCTTGCCATTATTATTTACAAATAAATATTAAAAACAGTTGGGCAGCTGATTCACCTTCATGATAGAGAAAGAAGGGGTGAACTGAATGCTAAAAGAGGAGCTTAAAAATGATGCATATTGGGAAGCATAAAATCTAAACTAGCTAACTTGGAATTCTTTTCCAAGATTGCTCCACTTTTATAGCAGGACATTAGGTCCCTAATGGATTTTGGGCACCATCACTTCCCCCAGTGCTTTAAGGAGCAATAGAAACCATTTGCTATACTGTGGTCAAAAATCCACTATTTCTGAGGTGCAATACAAGTGGACAGTAGATTTACCTATTACCTTTTAAGGATTCCCATAGTGCTCATGCGTCACCTTTTGATTCTTGAGATCCTAATGCTCAACTACTTGTTTGTTTAAAAACTATCCTGATTATGACAAGAACCCGCAATGAAGTACAATGTCAGGTTAATAAAGTCATAAATCCACATATCAAGATTTTTGCTTAAAGCCTTTTGAAATGGATGAAAAATAGCATTCTGCCCACATACAAAAGGAGAATCTACACTTGTTTTTTCCTTAAATAATCTACAGATAGTCCTCAACTTATGACCACAATAGAAACCAGAAAATTTGTCATTAAGCAGTGCAGTCATTAAGTGAGATGTCACATGACCACTCCCCATTTTGCAACATTTTTATGGTGGCTGTTAAGTGAATCACATGGTTGTTAAGTGAATCATGCGGTTTCCCATTGATTTTGCTTGTCAGAAGCCAGCTGAGGTCACAAATGGTGATCACATGACCCTAGGACACTGCAACCGTTGTAAATACACGCTGGTTGCCAAGCATGTGAATTTTGACCTTGTGACTGCTGGGACACTGTGGTGGTCACAAGTACAAGGATTGGTCATAAGTCACTTTTTTCAGTGTTGTCATAACTTTGAGCAGTCGCTAAACAAATGGTTGTAAGTTGAGGACCACCTGTACATATTTCTGAAAAAAATAATTATGTCTTATTAAGATTAAAAACCTACAACTCCAGTCCCTCACACCCACTTTCCAAGTACTGAAACTCACCTGTTCAAGTATAACTATAAAGCGAGAGGCCGGCGGTAGATCATAAGTCAATGTAATGTAAGTTGGTCCAAATCCAAGACAGACTGTCTGGAAAATCACAAAAGGCGCCCCAAATAAAATGGAGTGGATGATCTTGTGGGAGGAGCTATGGAACCCCTTGGCCCACTGGACAAAGAGGAAATAGGGCACAAGTAACGTGGAGAAGAACATGCAAAGCCAAGTTGAAGCGACGATAGAAATTTTGCCGAAAGAGTAAACCAGCAAATCAAATTCTAACACCAGCCTTCAAAAAAATCAAACAAAGCAAAAAAGTTAATGGAACTTCATTCACCAAGTAAAAATATAATATTTGGGGTGCTATTTTTGGGGGGGAGGGAGAAACAGCTATTAAAGCCAAGACTGATGAAATAATTTTATATCTAATTTTTAAAAAAATACAAGACCCATAACCAGGCAGAAATGTTAATGTACACCTAATAATGTTAAGCAATCTTCATCACTTCAGTGCGCACCAGATGTGTTGATCTACAATTTCTATTAGCCCTAGCCAGCACATACAGCAGATGCCAAAGTTGAAAAGGCTATTATAAAATATCAAACAACAAACATTGTCTCATCCAGATGTACCCAAGGAACTCAAGGACAGGTTGCAGAACCTTGGCAAGGACACATCTGTGGCAAACCTGCCTTTGTTGTGGCATTATATGTGAAATATAGTCATGGGGTTCTCTGTAACCTTTCTCCTCTGCAGAAAGGGCAGGGAGGGCAATCATTTCCTCCCTCCAAACTTTATGTACGCTTCCTATTCATTAACAGAGAAGAGGTGCATTTGGTCCAGGTGTGAAAATGCCCAAATGCAGCACCAACCCTGCCTCCAGCTAACCCTTTCAAGATGTCCTTACCTTCCCTCGTCAATGAAGTCCACCACAAGTGTGCTGAGGATGAACAAAATGAGGATAGCAATAAACATGTGATAGATGGTCCGGATATGATTCACTTCAAATAATTCACTATGAAAAGAAGTTCAATGGGATAAAAAAAAATTAGGAAATTTCTAGGGAAAAAAAGGGCAGAAAGCTAATCATTATCATTTTAAAAAGTACTGTTGCAAGTCCAATATTTCTAGTGGTTCAAGTTCAGAAGTTGTCACAGTAATGAAAGTTGAAATTTCTGCCCTATGGAGGTCTAATCTACCTCTTTCCTCCTGGGTTCCAGAAGAGCAGTTAAGACCTAGGTTTTCCATCTAGCTGAGGAGGAAGGCATGCTTTGAAAGCTGGGATGCAGTAGTGGATTCATAACTATGTTACTATTTTTTTATCCTTGATTATGCTGTTGAAATTTTTATTTTTTATTTTTTGGGTGGGGTTATTTATTTTTATTGAGGGTTGGATTTTTCTGTCCAATGATATTTCTGATTCTTAGCCACTCAGAACCTTTGGGAATGAGTGCCATACAAAAATGAATGAATGAATGAATGAATGAATGAATGAATGAATGAATGAACAAACGAACAAGCAGGAGCTACTCAAGAGCAGTCTTTGCTCAGCTCAAAAGCTCCTCAAAGGTACTTGAGCAAACCTTCACAGTAGATTGTGCTCCATGGACAAGATTAGGCAGGGCTTCACCAACCCACTGACCTCTAGATATGTCTTTCTCAGTGCTGGCTAAGAATCATGGGAGTAATCTATCCTGCCCATAAGTCTTTAGCCTGTGGAAGACTAGATGGACTGTATCTTACACTATCACTTTTAAGGTAGACTAAAATCTGGCATCGTGATCAGCCTGACTTTATTCCATAGTTTCTCATTCTTTTTCCTCTTTTATAAATAAGGAACCTAGAAATCAGGAAATTACTTCAGACAATGATTTTTGAATGGATGCGTTAGAGAAACATGAAGCCTCTAATGCTGTTTCATATTTAATATGGTTCATTATTGTTATCAGGAAACTGATACAAACTGAACTTATAAAATTGGGAAATATATTATAAATTGCCATGAGAAAGTTTTAAACAGCATTTTTCTCTTATTGCTTTCCCCCCATCTTTATTATAAACATCTAAAGAAAAGGGAACATAAGACTCCAAAAGCCTGCCTTTCAACAAAATCCACACCAACAAATGAGGCACCTGTAAAACTCAAGAAGCCACTTACTTTCATACATTTCTAAGAAATTGACTGGACCTTCAACTGAACGAAGAAGGGAAATTAGTAAATTATCTTTCAGAATAACAACAAGGACCTTTTATATTTCTACTAGACCTTGAGAGTGCTGCAGGGACATGTCCCTGAAATGTTCCATCTCTCAAAACCAGGAAGAATACAGACATTTTTCTATCAATGTGCTGAGCAAAGGTCCATTGTTTTCCCTCTAAAATGAAAGCCAAATGTCATGTTTCAACATTGATTTTGAAAAGAGATAACTGTTTTTAATCTAATAACAAGATTTGGCACCTTACAGTACATCTATCAGCCTCATGCCCAAAAAATGATTTTATCTGGCCTCCAAGCTAGGATAAGAAGGATTAATCAAAGCATGTTTTATCCACAGCTTAACCTGTAAAGAACATATGTGAAAAAATGGGGAGAACAGTCAACCACATGTTTATATCCACTATTTCTTTAGCTTGTGTATAATGGTACATAGGGGCATAAATCAGTGATAGAGGTTTAAGTTGCAATTTAAAGGATCAGGTAGTAAATAGTAGAAGAGCCTCTGTCTAAGACACTGGACAACTGCCTAGACACTGGACACTGGTCAAGAGGTGACAATAGTGGAGTAAAAGAAAAAATAATCTGAACTATATAAAATAGGTTCTTGGGTCTAGTTTATACACCTCCTCCCTAATTGTGAAGCCCTTATTTAGTAAGTATAAACTTTATCAGAGCATCTAGCCATCTATTAGGAGTCATTTCTCAGTAATACATACTTCTAGACAGTAGACCAGCTTTATGGAAAACAGAGAATTACCTGTGAATACAAACTATCTCATCTCTGAGATAGAACTCGAGATACACAATGGACCAAATAAGCAAGTGCCCAGTTTCAGCCAAGAGACTGATAATGAGAAAACTGATTTAAAGGATGAGAAAAGTGAGACAAACTACTTTATATCCCCTTATACTATAGATCACAGAAACTGGAGTGTTTTAACCACACTTTCCAAAGTGGACTGAGGCAATAGTAGCTTTAGCATTAGTTCTACTGCAATACAGGTAGTCCTCAACTTACAACCACAATTGGGACCAGAACTTCCATTGTTAAGCAATGCAGTCCTGTGGTGAGTCATGCCCAATTTTACATTTTTTGTTGCAGTCATTAAACAAATCACCTGGTCATTAACTGAATCTGGCTTTCCCCATTGACTTTGCTTGTCAGAAGCCCCTGGGAAGGTCATAAATGGTGATCATGTGTCCCGGGACGCTGCAACCATTGTAAATACATTCTGGTTGCCAAACACCCAAATGTTGCTCACATGACCATGGGGACACTGCAATGGTTGTAAGTGTGAGGACTGGTCATAAGTCACTTTTTTCAGCGCCATCGTAATTTGGACAGTAGTTAAACAAATAGTCATAAGTCAAGGACTACCTGTATACAAATTCATTAAATATACTCACTCCAAGAGAGACCTTCTGGGAACAAAAACTTTTCCATGTTCTGGAGGTGCTCTTGTTCCCCTGTGAAGAAAGGAACAGGCACTATTAAAAAAAAAAAAAAAAGGTAAAAAAGAAATCAAGTCTACTGAGCAAAGAACCAACATACTTGATTTTGGGGCTGTCTTTCTCTGGAAAAGCAGCTGGTGAAGATTCCAGCAGCTTAGAGTCTGCAACCAAGCCATTGACAACTTCAGTAAAATGTTTCTCCACACCCTTCATGAACGCTAGCTTCAGCTGCTGGTAAAATTTGAGGGAAAGAATAAAGGAAAAAAAGTCATAACCACTTAAGCAACATCTCACCATTAATAATAATTGTTTTATTAATGCTGCCTGCTCAAGCAACATTAATAAAACAATTCTCAAGAAGGGAGCTTTCCTAGCCATACTATATAGTGTAACTGTGGAACAAAACATTGAAAGGGAGCTCTTGAGCAAACTGAAATAAGTCAAAATTGTTAGCTGAGAGATCTTCTAAAGTATAATTATCATAATTCTCTCCCATCTCTCTATATCACAAATAAATGCTAACATATTTCACACATACATACACATACAAAACTGTAAATTAAGCCTGCGATAGTTTTTTTGAGGAATCAGATGCCAGTACTATTGGGTCTTTTAATCTTTTAACTATTTGAATTTAAGGAAGAAGGTCTAAAGCAATCAAAATCTTTCATTTAGGATTTTCCATGCATTTTTAGAGGTATGACACTAATTCTGTTTCGATGTAGCATTATTTTGTAACAGGAGAAAAAAACAACAGTCAGTATCCTTATTCAAAAACAGAAGATAGAATGGTTAATGTTTAGCTTTGGCTTGTGACCCACCAAAAACAAACAGACCAGGAATTTCAACTTTCAAAGCTAACCTGTTCACGAAGTTCACAAAAAGCAGCGTTGTTCTTTTTTTAAATAGTTTTGTTTGATCAATCACTGCAGCTTGACTATCAACATAGGGCAATGCCAAAATGTCAAAAATATGAGCCGTTTTTTTACTGATATGAAAGTCAAATTGCCAGTTTTTCATTTTAAAAAGCAACCATCTCCAATCTGGCACTCTCTAGAAGCATTACAATTCCCAGAATCCCCAGAATTTGTAGCAAGCACAGTTAATGGAAATTCTGAGAATTGCAGTCCCAATAGATCTGTAGAACAGGAGACTGGGGAATCTGACAACAGGTTAACTTGCTGGTAAATTGACAAGCAAAGAAGCATATATAACCCAGAGGACCTTGTTTGTAACATTTAAGTATATTTACCTCTGTTTCTGCTAAGAGTTGCATCTTCCTTGCTATTGCATGATCAACATCAATTCGACCTAAGAAAAAACAAACCATACTTTGTTTTCTCCAAACTGTACTATGTATCTTGAAAACACAAATATAACAGTGCAGGAAAAAATATATTTAAAAGTACTCTATGTTAAAATCAGCACAGCAAATAAGGGCCCAGAAAATTATTGACTCACCTGTACTATACAAGCATGGCTGTGTTATTCATTTGCTAACTATCAAAAAATAAACAACTTTTCCAATGTCTTTTTTTTTCTTTTTCTAAGTTTTTTAAAAAAGTTAATTAAACTTTATTTTAAATACACATACATGTGCATAGGTAAATACATTACAGCAGAGTGAAATAGATTGATAGCTAAATCCACCTCTAATATGTGGACAAGCATACTATTTCTAATAATTAGAGCAGAAAGATACTGAAAGATGGAGATTGGGGAAATTATAATGTTGATTATGGACCTAAAATACATAAAAAGCCTCAAGCTAGTCAAGAACATAAGAATGCTTTGTTTAAAATAGGTACTGGATGTAATATCCAAAAGAGGTTCTAGCACAGCAGGTTCTCACAGAAGAAATTGAAGATCAGTTATTATTAAAAACTCTTCCAACGTCAAAGTGTTCCCTGTCTAAAGGGAGTTCTTATACACTGTAGAAAAATAGCTATTTAGAAGCTTAAAACCTGAAGATAATTGGCACAGAAAATTTTGAAGGACTAGTGAGGGCATCTAATGAAAAAGAAAAATCCATACATATCAAAAAACAGATTTTTAGCCTAATTTTCTCCCTGACATTCTGGTTTTCTACAGGGCAGGAATTAACTGTTTTTATATTTAAGCATTTAGGTGTCACTTTTACACTTTCAGGTCATTCAGATGAAATATATTTTTATTATCTTAGTAATAACAATGCCTAAGAGATCATTTTCTCATGAATTCCAAATGTCTCAAAGCTATAATATGCATAAAACGGCTTTCAAAGAATAGAAACCAATCTTCAATCACTGCTCACTTAAAACATATCACAAAAATGATATGAAATGTATTTGTTCCCCCTCCCCCCAAAAGCTCATCATACTGTTGGACATAAACATGTTATCAGAGCATTCTGCAGAAAGATGAAACTGTAACTGAAGCAATTTTTCTGAATATGCCTTATTAAAAAAGCATTAATTGGGCTATTCCATTTTTTTCTTTTTAGTTCTGTTAACATAGTTCCAGATCCCACTGCCCTAAAAGAGCCAAGGAAACAGAATATTTCAGTTTCTAAATGAAATGTAAGGATTTAATGTAAGGTAGCTATATTTATCTTTTATATTTATTTGCAGAATTAAATGTAAGTAAAATTGATGTTATTTTTTTCACACACTGTAGCGGTTCTAAACCAAGTCATACTAACTCTCTCAAGGCACAATAATTCACAACCAAGTCAGCATATAATATATAAATATCTCTAGCCACCTTGTACTTGTGCTCCTATGTAGGAAAACAGCTAGATTTCATTCAACATTGTGTTAGCTTCTAACTGTTCTTGGGATTTATTCACATGACCTTGAATGCTATGAAACAAACAAACGATAACATATCAAATCTGGGAAGTGGTTGTTCCATTTGCAACTCTTTCATATTGTCCAAGTTCTCCAAGTTATGCCAGTCCTGAAAAGGGCCCAGAAGATGGTCTGTATCTCTGCTGTGGTGCTAATTTATGACAACAAATTAAGCCACATCAATACTATTCTATTCCCATCAATATAACACTGTATTCTATGCATGTTTAGCAAGCTGTTTAGGCTGCTTTAAGTTTATTACCCTTTCCATACACCTGCATAATACATAGAGCTTAGGTGATCTGGATGGACTACCACTCAATTCATCAAATTGGCAATCTAAAATGGTCTGTGCAACTATAAATGGGGAGAGACTTCTTGACAGAGAAGAGTTACAGAGAGCTCTTACTATCTCTCCACAACCGTACCTCTATTGTTGTGATTCACTTAAGGGCATGATAGCATATATACTGCAATCCCATAAAAATGCAGAAATGAACAAGCTATAGCACTGGATGGAAAAATTAACTTTCTAAATTCTGAACTATTTTTATGTTAGTTATGGGGAGGGAGGGACAGAGGGAGAGAGAGAAAAAAATGTGTATGTGTATGATTGTATAGAATTAATTAGACAAATCTCCCAAGGAAATGTTGAAAGCAGAGGAGAAGCTGCAACGGGGAACTGAGTAATCTCATTGTACAAGTATACTTTTGCTCATGGGACAATTTATTCCATTCATTTTACAATCTCATAAAATACACAATACGTGCATGAATATGCCCATATTTAAGAGAATTTTTAAGACTGAATGACTCCTGACAGCTACACAACTTAGTACAATTGCTACATGTGGCAGAACTTTCAGCATCCCATATAAATCACTGATTATAATCAAGATTAACAGAGCCAGAACAGGCCCACCCCACTATATTCACTGGAAAATAATATAAAACCAAAATGTGCCATTATTTATATAATTTCTACAGTTTTCAGGAATAAGATTTTCTTGGCAAACATTGTGACCTGCCAGCATGCAAGGTTATTTTTAAGGCAGCAGACAAAGCTCCAGATAAAAGTCAGAGAACACATGAGGGTGACATTTAACAGCATTGAGACCAGTTAGGCTTCCTACTAACTAGGACAGGAAATCAGCTTCAGCACTTAGTTTCTAATCCTGATTAGAACATTCAGACATATTTATTTTACAACTTTTTAAATAGGTACAGGTAATTCTTGCTTAACAATCCTAATTGGGACCAGAATTTCCATCGCTAAGTGAAGCAGTCATTAGGTGAAACTTCATGTGATCACACCGCTTAATAATGGCAGTTCCTGTAGTCCTAATTGCGATTGTTAGGCGAGGACCTCACGCTTCTCCAGTTCTGCCACACTCGCCTTCGCTTCAACTCCCCCCACCCACCTATCTCCCCATCTCTGCCCTTTTGGCTGCACTGCACTCTGCCACCACCTACCCGTACTGCCCCCCACTGCCCCCAGCTGACCTTTGCCATCTTCTTTCTCCCACTGCTGATGAGGTGTGTCTGGCCAAGGCAGTTGCTGGCCCTCCCTAGGGCCACAGCTGGGGGCAGGGGGGTTGCAGGGGTAGGCGGCAAAGTGCAGGGTGGCCAAATTGGCAGAGATGGGGGGGAGATAGGCAGATGGGGGGAGTTGAAGCACCCCTGCAATTGTAAATGCAGGGAGGCTGTCAAAAGCCCGAATTTTGATCATGTGATTGCGGGGGCACCACAACAGCCATAACTTTGAGGACCGGTTGTAACTACCATTCATTCAGCACCATCATAACTTCAAAAGGTCACTGAATGAATAGTCGTTAAGCAAGAACTACCTGCAGTTTTATTTTAAAAGTAAAAGGAAACATGTACAACAATACTGCGAGACCACCAAATTACTCAGCTCTATACATTCCTTGTAACTGTTAATTGTTCATGGGACACTGAACTGTCTAGAATGTTATTATATAGCTAAATCACAGGGAAAAATATACATACTCATTACTTTTTTTAAACATTTAGAGTTGGATTTGAAAGGAAAGGGAAAAAATTACTCTGGAAATTATACTCACTGCACACACTCTCTCTTCCCTTCTTTCTCTCTGCATAGGGAAAGAGAAATGTAGGAGAAGATGTGCTAAGATAATGTATCAGTACTTATCACATTTGTACAGATTTATGAGAGCTTATTTAATATCAGTACTGATAGGAAATACTGTGAAATAACACTGTGTTATACTGGCAATGTTAAAGGGAAGAAAAAAATAAAACAAGAAACAAAGACTTGGTCTGATTAATTGTTCAAGGTTCACCAGAAATGAATCACTAAGCCAGAAAAGGGACACTTTAGAACATGCAGTCTACTGCCTGAGTCATCACTTACAAGAAACATGTGACCTTCCTTCTATATGATTAACGAATTTCTCTCTCTCTCTCTCTCTCTCTCTCTCCCTCTCGACTTGAGCACTGACCTCTGGTAACACGGCCTTTATTTAAAAAGCCTGAAATATGCTTCCCAGCTGGAGTATTCTTGAAGCAAACTTTATGATGTTCCAAGATGCAATACTGATAACATGAAGCAGAGAGCTTAAGAAGCAAAACCACTATACTGAGGAAGACATGGGTTTGGGTTCAAATCCAATCTCAGCAATGAAATTGCTTCTCTCTGCCTTGGTCCCACACCCGTGAAATAGGATGGGTCAGCTTCCTCATAAGAGCAGAAACGTACACAACTGAAAAGCCCAACAGAAACATTGGTTCAGAACAGTGAGCTGGCAACTCTTCCCTGGCTGAAACAAGTAGGGAGCAGCATCTCTTCCCCACCAGAACCAAAGATACAGAATGCAGGATCCAATCCTTTCCAGTGAACTGGAACTTTGGGAGGACTACCCCAGAAAGAGAACACTTTCTCTACTGAAACAAGAAGAAATAATTACAGAGAGAATCCTCTTTTTTTCCCTCCAGGCCAGGGGGCCACAGGATTACTGGATTACTCCATCAACAAGATGTTATCAATGTTACATCGAATAGCTAAACTCGCCTTGGTAATTGCGTGAGCCACTACCGTTCTGTTACAAAGAAGGGAGAGAAAACAACTGTTTCTAATTTGATCTGCAACAAAAAGTAGAAACTGAGAAAAGTTAAGGGTCAGGGATGCCAGAGGAGTATTTGCTGTATTAAAAAGGAAAGAGGCACAACTGGGGAAAATTTAGAGAGGGTTAACTGACCTTATCCCAATGCTTCTTCCTTGCAAATTATCTTTGCCGAGTCCTTGTTCTTTGCAAGAAAGAAACAGATTTATGACTCTCAGCCTTGTGCTGACAGCGTGAGGTTCTTCTAGAACTCTAAACTTAATTACACCTGAACAATTAAATCTGATAAAGAGCCACAGTTGCTCTTTAAAGAATCTCAGGTAGAAGGGTCTGAAAATCATCCCTGCTTGGGTTCTTGGAGAAGCTGACCGAAAAGAAAAAAGCCAGGCAAACTTTTACGTCCATGAAGCTGCATTTGGATAAACAAACTTAATTCTGCACACCAGATTTCACAATGAAGCCTAATATTGGTAGCTCCCACCAAATCATCAGCCTATAGTATAAATAAACATAACCAAAAGACATGATTGGATTCTGAAAGGGTATTTGCAACAAATGGGTTTGAACATTTTATACCTTGATCACCTGGGCTGGTTTCCTAAGGCTGAAGTAATGATAGTTAGCACAGACTGAAAATTCATTTGGAATCACAGGGTATTGTGCTCTAAAAAGAAGACATCTATGTAAGCTAAACCCACTTAGTGCTGTACCTCTATAGAGTGCAGACCATTGGTCAGCATTGTCAACCTTACTGGAAGGGATGAATACTTTGTTTGCTGGCAAAGATCAGTCTACTTGCCAAAGAAAGGAACAAAGGAAATCACAATCTCTGCTTTCCTTGGGAGCGGAGTGGTTAAGAAAGGATAGGGTGTTTTTTTAATTACAATGTTCCAAAGAAAGACATATTCACAGACAAAAAAATGTATTACAAAACAGTACACAGGTCTGCAGTTACTGAAGCCCACAAGTGCAGTGTTACTGGTCAACAGAAATTCATGACCCTTCTTAAGCTTACTTTGCAGTGACAAGATGTGCCTCATGCTAATGTGTAAACAAAGCAAACATTGTCTTGTATTGCTTGCTATGTGCCTAATGCAAAGCCACTGTGCTTTGGTAAGTTACTGCCACTGTGGTAGCACCTATACACTCAAAAAGGACCTTTACTTAGATCGTACCTGGCCAACACTCAACTGATTTTCAGAAAGAGAATGGGAGATCTCATTTATGACCTAAACTAAGCAGTCAACACACACTGTCTGTTGGTGTACTTCTACCCATTTCTTGTTACCTGATTAGCTGGCTGTAGCTATTTTAATGTTATGTAATCAGATTTATATTTTATTAGATGGTTTATGAAAACTACTTTGGGAGTCTGCTGTCTGAAAAACAGGATAGCATAGAAATATTGTTCTGTAATAGTAATGGCAGATGACTGAATGGGAGAGAAAGGCAGAGTCAGAAGAGAGAAGAAAGAGAAGAGAAACTCAGGAAGAAAAGCCAACATTGCCAGTATATACTATTGATAAATAATGCCATCCACTTTGCACTCATTTTTTCTTTACCCAGAGATATTCATCAGCATGGCATTTATGTATACAGTACAATTCTGAAGGATGACCAAAGGTAACCTCAGTTACAGAATGACTGATATATGTCTTACAAGTCCAGGAGTACAGAACAAAGACCTCACATGCTTTCCTCAAGGCAAATTACTCATTTCAATGCAGTCCAAGGCTATTTAGAGAGGGTAAAAAGTTTTCAAGGGAAAACTTTCTGGGAAATGACCAAGCATGCCTTTGCATGTGATTCTAAGTGATACGTTAGCCCAAATGCTAACCCAACGAAACAGACAAACTGATTTGGATTTGAACGACTGAATACAACTGAGATGGAGTGTTTGTTTTTCCTCAATTTTTTAAAAAAAGTTTTAAAAATAAAAGCACTTTTTGAAAAACCATCACACCAACCAAGAACAGATCCCTTTTTGCCAAAGATACAAGGAAATGCCTCCACTGATTTTGGCTCAGTTCAACACACCACACAACATAGGAATAATTAAGGATGCTTAATTTGTCTTTTGTCATGGCTAGTGTGTCTTTGGGTAGGCTCCCAAAGTAGTTTTCATAAACCATCTAATTCAATATAAATGTAATTACATAGCATTAAAATAGCTACAGCCAGTAATCACCTTGCTTGTATTACTGGATCTTAATTAGGCACAGAAGGGGGAAGTTCCACCCTCCAAAATGTATCCAGATGGGTTTCATGTTTGGTACTCACTGTAACTCCAGGACTGGGGTGGAGGAGATGCTATAGTTTTCCAGAAGGCTCTGAGGGTTCTCAAGGGTGCCATCCTGGGTGTGAAACACTACCTGTGAGATTGGGCCTTAAGGATCAGTTGCGATTGCTGCTACTGTGCCAGCCTCCCAGCTGCATAGCAGCTTCCCTGACTGAGCTACCTGATGCCAACTTGGGGTTGGAAGTAGAGTACTCCAGTCTTGGGTTCCTGGCGGGACTTCAATTTGCCATCCCTGGATGCTGACTCAGAGGCAGCCCAGGAGTACATAGCTACCATGGCAACCATGGACCTGACCCAGCTTATTGTGGGTCCAACCCACAAGGGAGGTCACACGTTAGACCTGGTTTTCATCTTGGGACAGTAGCAACGTGGAGTTGGGAAATATTACCATCAATCCCTTGTCACGGGCAGATCATTTCCTGTTGACCCTGGAGTTTCCCACAGCACCTCCCTCTGCAAGGAAGTGAGGCCTATTCAATCAGCCTAACCCAGGCACCAATTAAGTTTCAAAGGGAACTTGGGATTGTTCCTGAGATTCTGATGCATAGTTCAGCTAAGTCCTTGGTCATCACTTGAAACAAAGTGCCAGATAGCGCCTATGCAGCCTCTTGCTGGCACAGACTTCTGATGATACCTCTGGAGGATGAAGTGGCATGAAGGATGCTTAGTGCACTGCTGGATGAAAACTAAGAGCAAATCCAAATGGACAGAGGTAAAAACCTCAGAGCCTATTAGGGCCTATCTTGTGACACTAAGAGCGGCAAAACATGCTTCTCTATTCTTATGGCATTCTGTGAATATCGCCTAGCAATCCTGTTCAGGGTAACCCAATCCCTCTTAGGTCAGGAATGACCAGGGGAGTATCTCCAGGATCACTGTAAGGACTATTCTCAACAACTGGTAGATAAAATTGCTTGGATTTGCTTTGAGTTAGACTCCAGCTGGGCAGGTCCTATGGAGTTAACTGAAGTATAGTCTTGAGATGTTATCTGGAAGGAGTTCAATCCTGTTAGTCCTGAAGAAGTGGGCAGTTTCCTTGGTACTGTGGGTATGGCCACCTGTGTTTAAGATCCATGTACCTTCTGATTGGTTAAGGCCTCCAGGGAGAGGGTATGTGGATGCCATGCAGCGGATAATGCTTGCTTGAGGCAGTGGGTGCTTCTGTTGGCTCTAAAAGAGGTGGTAGTCCACTCCCTTCTCAAGAAACCATCGCTGGATCCCACAAATCTGGACAATTTTCATTCAGTCTCCAACCTTCCCTTTTGGAAAGAGAGAAGTCACCTTTTGAGAAGGTAGTTCGCCTACAACTCCAAAAGATCCTCAGGGAAGCAAATTATCTGGATCTCTTTCAGTCAGGGATACAGTACTGAGATAGCTTTGGTTGTTTTTATTTATTTATTTTTAAGATTTATAAGGCTGCCCAGTTCAAACATTGTGACTCTGTGCGGTGTACAGCATTAAAAAAAATAAAGAAGGAAAAAACATAACAAACAATACAATACATAAATATCAAATCTAAAATGGCGACCAAGCACATAACAAAACAATCACAAGGGGACTCCCACTTAACTGGCCCCTAATGCCTGGGGGAAGAGTCAGGTCTTAATGGCTTTCCCAATGGACAATTGCACTTGTGGATGACCTCTGGTGGACTTGGGATTGGGGCAGTGCATCCGTCTTGGTCCTCCTTAATCTCTTGAGGGATGGGAGTAGAGGGCAGTGTTTGAGGTGGTTCTTCTCCATCCTTTAAAGGTGGCTGCAATCAGTGTTGGGGGGAGGAGTGGTCTAATCCTAGGTCCTTGCTTTACTGGGTGCCTCAGGGCTCTCCCCTCTCCTTTTTAACATCTACATGAAACTGCTAGGGAAGGCCATTCTTTGGCACAGGTGCAGTATCATCAATTGTACATCTCTGCCCCTGGCCACCCAAGTGATGTTGTCAAGGCTCTGCCCTAGTGTTTGGAGGTTGCAGGGGTCTGGATGGGGAAGAACAAGCTTTGGCTCAACCTTGCCAAGACCAAGTGGCTGTGGGTTTTGGCCCCATGTGTCCCATAACTGGAGAGATATCAGCCTTGACTCTGAGTGGAATTGAACTGCCTCATGCAGATTCAGTGTGCAATTTGGAGTCCCTCTTCGACTCACAGCTCCTGCTTGAACAGCATGTGATAACTGTGGCCAGAGAGACTTTTATACAACTTTGTTTGGTGTGCCAATTGTGCCTATTCCTGGATCATGGGACTCTGCTCACGGTCACTCATGCCTTCATCACCTTTCACCTGGATTATTGTGACATGTTCTATATGGGGATGCCCTTGAAGACCATCTGGAAGCTGTAACTGGTCCAGAATGCCAGTAGCATGGGTAGTTAAGGCCATTTCTTGTTATGCCCATGAGACACCTCTGCTACAAGAACTGCACTGGCTCCCAATAGGCTTTCAGGTACAATTCAAGGGTTTTGTACCAACCAGTTCTATCGTCACCAGGAACTCCAACATACAACATAGCAAAAGAACTTACAAAAAAAGCTTGGACATCTCACAGAGGGGAGTGAATATTCTATCAACTCCCCACTACAGTGCTTCCAGAAAATCAAAGGCCTAAAAATAGATGAAGATGATATGATGGTTTCATTCACTGTCACAGCACTCTTTACATCCATAGATCCAGAGATAGCGAAAGAATCCATGGCAGCAGTACTACACAACACACCTGACCTAACCAAATACACCCAGATCGAAATACCCAGAAACATGGACCTCATCAT